TGCGGTTTCTTGATTTAAAAAAAAATGGAATGGTGCCTGACTACGGACCCTAGCAGTCAATATCTTACAAAAGGATGGACCATAGGGAAGAACTCTCTTTTTAAAAATATCAAGACAGAGTTTACCAATGCCACGTTCTTCATGAATCCCTACTGGCCTATGAATGTAGTCTTTTAATATAAAAAGTTGCCATAAGCTCGAGATATTCTCCTCTATCACAGACACGGGCCGCTTTAGACTTCATACGCATCGACTTTCCGCCGTCCACCGTGCACCCAGGCCGTGCTTTCAAACCTCTGGCAAACCGCAGCTCCCACCGCTGTCGCCGGGGCGCCCTTTTCGACACGATGCGATGTTTTGCCGTGCATGGCGTGGAAAGTAAATAATATTTTGTTAGTCTATTCACAGAGGTCGACGCATGTCAGCTATTCTAGAGTGTGTGTGTGTGGGGGGGGGGGGGGGTCAAGGTTGACGAGCGAAGCGAACGCAGTTAGTGGGGGAAGGGGGTAGGATTTTTTATGTGCTGTTCTGCGGGCATTTTTAAGCTATAACCAGTTATATGTATGTGTAATTTAATTACAAAAATATCCTATTCACCCTAAGGAGTGGGGACAAACTAGACCTTGTGGGGGGCAGAGTCTTGGGGAGGGGGTATTGCCCACACCAGCCCCCCCAGTTAACGACCCTGCACTCTTTGTTCAGTGACGAAGATAGTGTACAATGTTTATTACCTGCTATTATTGGAAATTTGATTCGTCTCTCATGCTCCGTTGAGAACTGTCAGCATACAGGATATCCGTACTAATTCTGGAATAACAATCATAACACTAACATCAAAAATGGATTCAACGACCCCAGACCAAAAATATACATATATGATATTGTTGAATATGTTGGTAGGCCATTTTCTCTGCTATTTTGTAAATCGCTATTTACTGACCTGGGCAACTACTCTAAATTAAATTCGTCTGCAAAGCCCAATTCTACCTCAGAAAACATCATTTAAATTTCGTTTGAAATAAGAAAGCTATTGGAAGGTGGGTGAACGTCCCTCAGCAAAATTGCAAGCTAGCCCAATCTCTGGTAAACTGTTTAGTACGCGAGTACTTCATAGATGGCAGTGTTTTCATGCAAGCTCTATTAATTTCCAGTGTAATTTTCTCACACCAGTAAGTTCCAGACGTCGAAGAAATGGAAGGATGCCTATGGATGAAGGTAATAGTCCCCTCATATTAGCCCAGTCCAAAGGATCACTTTTGTGGAAATGGGCTGATTCCCAAAGTGGATCATTCCTCCACCTCTCCCTCCACTAATCCAGGCTCAACATCGCCCCAAACTACATCCTGCCCAGTACCATCTGACACACTTGAATATTCAGCTACTGATTAACATGGATATTCCACGAGAGACAGTGGCGTAGCCAGAGCGGGAAGATTGGGGGGGCAAAAAGGTAAGAAAAATAGCAGGGGGTCCGGGAATCTTCCCCCGGGAAAATTTAAGACCACGCCCCTTAGAATGCTGGAAAACGGCTCTTTTTAGATGGCTTATAATGAGCTATGCCATTTGTGCAATAAAATTTGTAGGGGGGCCCCCTACAAATTTTATTGCAGATTTGCACTTTTCTCAGAGACCAACTTTCTGAGCATTGGGGGGGGGGCGGCTGGCCCCCCTTGCCCCCCCCCCCTCGCTACGCTACTGACGAGAGAGTGCGAGATGGTGCGTCATACTTTACAATTGGGTGAGTCAGTGGGGTCAACCTCCCAAAGTCCCTTTTGATCCCCATAATGCCACGTTCCATTTGAGGCCTCATGTGGGACATAGCTCCAGAGACAGTGGCCCAGTTAGACGCCAACAAGTATTTTTGGAAGGTTCTAAGTTCTCTTTGTTTTTGTATCATGGAAAATTCATTTGGGTTCCTCTTTGCAGGGCATACGGTATTTGGATTGCTGCAGACACTGCTGCAGAGAATGGATGTAATGGAAAAAAGCTGGCACAAGTTATGAACAGAGAAACCAGGGAATAAAAACAGAGAGAGGAGGCTGTCACAGATCCCCCCCTCCCCCAAGACGCAGAAATAAAATATAAAAATGTTAGTGGTCTAGCAGAGGAACAAAGTGTAGACTTTGTAAGATAAAAATTCAGGGAATGGAAAGGAAAATAACAGGTAGTGTAGTAGGAGGAACATCCTCTGCGGACTTCAGGTCACTGAAGTGCAAAGATTGTGAGAAAGAAAGCCTCTTGAAAAAAAATGGGACACTGTGCAAGGCGAATGAGCAGCCAATCGAGATATGTTGGAAAAACATAAAGACGTGATACAGGACTGATGGAGCCTCTCTTGAAACAACGAAACAAGTGATACAGAGTAACCCAGAAAAGTGTCACCCAGATGTACACCGAGAGCGGTCAGACATAACATTTGTTTATACATAGTTTCGCACTTTTTGACTTCAGTAATTGCGATTGGTCTGGCTCTAGACCTGACTCAGGAAAGCTGAACAACAGAGTATTGTTGATTGTGCAAGCGTGTCTTAAACACAGATATCTGTTCCATGGACTAGATAGATCCAATGTAGATGTGTGTGTCTCATTTGTTGATATACCTATGCTTTGTATGTGAAATGGTGACAGGGTGAGGATAACTTACGTTACCTCATCCTTTTGAGATGTAAGCGTTTGTCTCAATTAACTTGTCAAATCAAATCAAAACTCTCTCCCTCCCTCCCTCCCTCCCCCCCCTCCCCCTCCCCCTCCCCCTCCCTCTCTCCCTCCCTCTCCCTCTCCCTGCATGCTAGTTACTAACCACGCGATTGTCGTCACTAGTTTACACAGGGGTTCCACTTACCCGCTCCCCCAAGATGGATGTGGCCACTTCATCTTCATCTTGGATTTAGTTTGTTCCCCGGTATTTTTGCTACATATATTTGGCGGTTTCCAAGCAGCTTACAGTGACATTCTAAATCCCATTAAATCTTGCATTTGAAAAATGCATTCTATTGATTTCGACGTCACCTCTGGTCCCTTTCCTACCTGTCGCCGTCGCTCAACCCATGCTCACTTTCATTCTCTATTCTCTTGAGTCATGGCAAGCGAGAGGGTGAGAGATGGGATGCAATTTTCGCGTTTACTGACTCCGCTTCTCTTCCCATACCCACTTCTCGGGACAGGAGATGATCACGTGATGGCGGCTGCTGTCACCGTCTCTGTTCATGGGCCTAACCTTCCACATCTACCATTCAGGGTGCATAAAAAAAAATCATTATCAGTATCTATATGCCATATTACACGGTGTTTTTCGATTCTACACCTTTTTTTTATCTTATATTAATAGATATTCAGAAAGTTTTTTCTCATGATGTAACACTGACAGTAAATGATTAAATGGCCAATTTAATTATGGTGATCAAGATGACCGAAAAATAAACTGGATTGCTTCTACAAGAATAGAGGGGATTAGCAGCCATCAGCAATACCTGTCCGTTGTCAGAGTAACATTGATGATGGTGATGGTGAAACTGAAATGATATTGGTGGTAACTAACATTAATTGATGGCATGTTAATAACGATGGCATTGGTATTAGTGTCATCGCTATTAAGTACTATTATTTTCTTCCCCATTTTATAATTAATGTGGCAAGCATAAGGAAATCGAAACGAAGCTGCATGAATTAGCGGACGTGCAGGCGAAATAGGCAAGGGATTGCAACATTCATGTTTCATTCTTGTGAATTGAACTCCATTAGAGCTCCAAGCACTCACCCAACTCTCACTTCGAAATATCAACGCTATAATCACACTTTACAGAAGAAACCAGACTAAACATAATTCTATAATTCCGTGTATTAATAACAAATACCAGTATTTTTTTTTTCTTTTCCTTTTTCTTTTCTTTTTTTCTTTTTTTTATAAAGATAAGAAACGTAGTGATACAGCATCCCTTGTAAAAGCCCTTCATCGTACCTCCGCCAACGTTCCAGAGTCCGGAAGGCGAGTGCCACCGGAGCCCATTCAGACTTCCCTCGTCTGGCCCTTCGTCGCGAACAGAATGGCGGGAGACTCAGCACCGATATGCATCATACGGCCCTACAGAAAAGGCGACGAGGACACCATTAGAGACATAATGACAGAGGCCACAATGGAGACAGTGGGGGATTTCTTCTGGTCCGCTGTCATGTCGGAGGTCTTCCCGCAGGTAATGTATGTGGTTAGGTCTTTTTATTAAGTCTTATTGAATACGTAGGGTATGTTTTAGTTTCTCAGTTGTAATTCAGAGGTTATTTGTCTTGGTCATGTGTTACGGTTTATTTAATTGTTTAGTGTACAGCTTGTTAATTGACTTTGCCTGAGCTCCGATAGGTGCCAGTATTCTCATTGGCAGATGTGCAGGTGTATTTTGGTAGATTTCCCAAATGTGGAGGTTGCAGTAGCAATTACTCTCTTTTATTCTTTATTCTCTTTCTCTTCACTCTCTTCTTCCTCCTCTGCTTTCTCGATTTTTATTTTGTCTTCTACTTCCTCTTCTGTTTCTTCTTCCTCTTCCTTTTCCTCTTCCTCCCTCTCTTCCTCCTTGTCTTCCTCTTCCTTCTAGTCTTCCTTGTCTTCCTCTTCCTTCTAGTCTTCCTTGTCTTCCTCTTCCTTCTAGTCTTCCTTGTCTTCCTCTTCCAGTTCCTCTTCCTTCTTCTGCTTCTCTTTTACCCATATGTTGAGGTTGCAGCAATTGCTTGACTGCTAATCGACAAACTTGAAATTGCAATTGTTCTAGCGTAGTTCATGATAAGAGGAATCAAACATAGCCAGTACCATTTTCAAAAAATGATGTATTGAAGGCTGGTTTGCTCAATCGCATTTAAAGCCCAGTAGAACACGAGACGGGGAATACTCCTGTTCCTTCACTCATCAACAAGTGAGAAAGGCCAAAGAAGAAGAAGTAGATAGAGCTATAGATATGTTTGTTGTGTCTTCTATAATCCGATGCTTAAAACAGTATCGGAATTATTGATCTCCCTTTTATCTCCTTTTTATTCTGTGTTCCTTGTTGAGCTCTAGATGAAAAAGAATTGTCTGGTTATTTTGACATTTCCGGTGAAGAGTGGAGGTTCAGATTGATTTCTTAATTTGTTCTCTTTATCTCATAATTATTAGGTAATTTTAATAGTTTTGTTATTGTTTTATTTGTTGCTGTTTATTATAGATACTAGTAGGAGTATTTTATTTATATATAAATATAAGCCTATTAGTATTAGTGATTGATTTATTTGCTTGTTTTTAATTATCATCATCATCATTAACATTTTTTAAATTATAATTATTGTTGTTGCTAATATTATTATTAATACTAGTATCATCATCATCATCATCGTCACCATCACCATCATCATTGTTCTGTTTTGTTATTGGTATTATTATTATTATTGTTATTATTATTATTATTATGGTTATGATTATTACTGTTGCTACTACTATCATTTTATCACTATCATTATGACTATCTCTACTATTATTATTGTTATGTTATTATTATTATTGTTATTATTATTATTATTATTATTGTTATTATTATTATTATTATTTTATTGATATTGTTTTTGTTAGTGTTATTCTTGATTATTATTTGATATTAATTCAAAGTTATGTTATTTTTAAAGATATGGTTGTTGGTATCATTGTCATCATCATGTTTTGTTTTATTTTTATCTTGATTGTCATTCTCATTATGTTTTATAAATAATATTTTTATTTTCATTTTCATTCTTTTATTCCATTTTGATATAATTATCATGACTATCTCTACTATTATTATTGTTGTGTTATTATTATTATTGTTATTATTATTATTGTATTCTTATTATTATTATTATTATTATTATTATTATTATTATTATTTTATTGATATTGTTTTTGTTATTCTTAATATATTGTTATTTCATATAGAAATGGAGTTAACCCACCATTTATCTCTGACCCTTGGTTTGCTTTCAGGTTGCTCTCCTTGTTATTGCATTTGCTTTCATTGGACTGGGGGTACCTTTCTATTTCTGCCTGTTCGGCATACCAGTTGCAGTGGGTGTGATATATGGTGTGATTTGGTCAGCTCACTTGTTCAAGGTGAGTGCCCCTTCAGGATTTGTTCAATGATTATATTTTGTATTTAAATAGAGAGAGGTTGAAAGAATGGATATCAAGTTGTGCTCAAGTGTGTTTGTCTGTGTCTGTTTTTGCTTGATATTTTTGTGTGCGTGTGTGAGTGCGTGTGCTTGTGCGAGTGCCAGTGTGAGTGCTTGTCCAAGTGCCAGTGCGTGTGTGTGCGTGTGTGCGTGCGTGTGTGTGTGTGTGCGTGTGTGTGTGTGTGCGTGTGTGTGTGTGTGTAAATGTAATTATATGCATTCAGACAAATGATAAAAAGCCAAATAGAGATTTTTCTACCCTTATAAATCTCACTGATATTCTTCACAGGCCATGGAACTCCATGAAGATCTGAACAACATACAGAAAACATATATGGAAGATCCTGACACTGGATTCTGGGTTGCTGAAGTGTTGGAAGTCAGCGAGGCCAATGAACTTGATTCCCTCGTTAACAAAACTAAAAAGGTATAGTCTGTTGCCCAAATTTCTTTTGTGTTTTAAGGCTGTTTGTACTGATGTTAGTTTCCTGTTGATTTATTTATTTATTTATTTTTATATGTTTACTTATTCTTAAGAAAAGAATTAAAAGAAAAATGGCCGATATAACAAGGCATTTGGCTAGACATGCTGTCCCTTGTTTATATTTTATCACACTGTATCTCTTTCATCAGATATGGTAAGAAAAAACAAAAATGAACAAACAATTTTGATTCAAACTGAGACATCCGTTACCAAATCCTCCTGCATTTCACTTCAGATATCAATATAGAATTGTTTTTGCAGATTGAATATCAGTTTCTTACTGAAGAAGAATTTCATGTGAGAAATATAAACATAGATGGCTTCAGGAAGCATCTGGTTGGGACTGTTGCTATCACCAAGTCTCAGCGAGGAGGACTCAGGTAAGCATGATGGAGGCTTCATTCTCTGTCTTCGTCTAATTTGCTTATACCTCAGATGATATTTTTTTATACATAAGATATTGTACAGTAGGTGAAGATGAAAAGAGTGTTTGTTGTTGTTTTTTGAGATGTAAGTGTCAGGAACTGATATCTTTTTCATCAACTTTTGATATTAACCCCTTGTCGATGGGGAGGGCATGTACGTACATGCCATGCCCACTGTGAGTCGACTTGTTTGATTGTTTTTACACATAGATGGCAACACTTGTACTAAGTCACCAATGAGCCAATTACGAGTACTGCCTGTCTCACCCGTTCACCCTTTTCACGAAAATATTTAACATTATCTTAATTTGCTGTTAAAAATAACACCATCTATATTTATAGCACTAGTAAGAATACGTTTTTTCCCGCCAATTCTAGGAAAGGTAAAATCAGGACTAGCAGAGCCATCTATGTACAGAGAAATTTTAAAAAAATATAAAAAATGAGTACATCATTTTCCACATTTTTTATTCATTTTCCCTGGTGGCAATGGGTTAACATATATTTTTTTTTCTAAATTAGTTTAAAATTGTCAGTTCGTAGACAGTTTTCACCTTTCAGCTGCTCAAGAAGCAGTGTCTTTAAAAATTCACAGTTAAAGCAGACAAATGCAGTAGTGCTACATAATGGTCCAATTAATATTTTGTAATATAGAGAGATATTCAAGTGCATTTCCTTGGCTGATGTTGCAGGGCTTGGCTAAGACGCATGGCAGTGAGGAAGGCTTACAGGCGCAGGGGAATTGCCATGCAACTCCTGGAGCAGGCCATCCAGTTCTGCACAGACAGGTGCCACGAGGGGATTGAACTCATCACAACGGAGTGCCACTATAAGGTGTGTCTACATTTTTGTTTTCATTGTTTCAGTAACTGTTACTGTCAGTGCCATTTAATTTCTGTCATTGACACTCACTAATATCCCTGCTAGTATCCCATATTCAATTTTCATATGTTCTTTAGTAGTCCTCATTAATATTCGTCATGCATAATTCATTGTTTATTAGTTGGACTAGTGTGAATATATATATTTTCATTTACTTTAGTCATCTGGGATATTCCAGGTGTGATGAATTAAAGTTTTAATGGTTAGTTTTTGTTAAATGTAATCATTTTAACATGCATATTTTGTGCATTTCAGTTGAAGTCTTCCTGATAATTAACTGTTTTGTTTTATGCTTTCAGGCACGTGAACTGTATTACAAGAGAGGTTTCACAGCAGATCACACCTATTACAAGTACTATTTCAATGTGCGACAGCCAATGTACCTCTTCTCAATGCCTTTGAAGCCCCCCAAAGCAAACCTTGCTGAAGTATCAACTATGTAGAGCATAATCCTGTCAATGATTATGCTTGTTGACACTTAGTCTAGATTCATAATGAGTTGTTACATACATATTTTGATCTTCCAAGGTGAATGACACCATTTCGGATAGAAAATGAATTTATGAACAAGAAGGCTTTATGGGGATATCAGATAGTGCCTTAAGGTTGTTTTGTTGTTAAGTAGTTCCTAGATTTTCAATGAGGTAGAATTCAGGGTGATGTGCAGTAGAGATAAAAGCTGTATTTTTTTTTTCTTTTCTTTTCTTTTCTTTTCTTTTTTTTGTGAGGGGGGAATAATCTGTAGAGTTGAGACATCATAAAAGCAATGTGATAATAATTTTAAATACTGTGAACTAAATGGTATGAACTAAACTTTTTTTGATATGTCTCTAGGGGAACTTGGAATTATTTACAACCTTTGTTTGGATTTTGATATTCTTTTGAAGGTCTGTGATGTGCAAGATGCACACCATTTTTTGTATGTAACTTTTCATCTCTTATTTTTGTCTCATGTAGTCCCTGCATGACTGAAAGAAACATGTAATTATGTAATTTAATGCTTATATTACAGTTTTTTTTAAAGCTTGTAAAGATTTTAGCAATCCTTGAAAGGTAAATCAGATTAACTTGTCACAAATTAACTTTTTTATATGTAATTTTCCTTCACTGGTACTGAAAACATGATATGCTATACTGAAAGTTTCCTGTCCATTCTCTTTTCTTCATCTGCTCAATATTGATGGTATGTTTCGTGATAACATTAATAGTTTGACCTGCAAATGAATAAACAACCATGATAGTCCCAGAATCTCATTTTGTGTTCATGTTCTTTGGTATGATTTTATTATTGCCATAGATGAATTATGTATTGGTGCAGCTCATTTTTAGAGGACTTACAGACAAGGAAATTGGAGTATAAGAAAGTTATATTCCACTGATCTGTTTCCAAGTTGGGATTATTTACATATTTATGTAACTCGGTACATAGGATCAAACAAATATGTTAGTTCTGAAAAAGAGTAAGATTCTTTTCTGCTTATACTCATTTTTTCCTTGTATGCATTCCGAAGTTACTTTGTTTCACATGGTTTTTACCCATCTTCTAGTACATCAAACAGAAGCATGGGATTAGTTTCACTGATATAATAAGACATGTATAAAGGGATTTATACCAAGTCATTTATATTTCCACACTTTGAAGTTTTGTAGTGTTGCTTGTATATATTTCTTGTTTTATTTTTGTAATGAATTGCATTGTACATTACTCTTCATTTTTCTAGGAGTTACAAGGAAATACGAAGATGGAACTGTTCCATTATTTATAAATGAGAGTTGACACTTTACTGAATATACTTCCTTTTAAAAAAGTATATTGTAAATGTGTTAAGTGTAAATTATAGTAGAATGAAAATTTAACTGGAAGATCATTTACTAAAATTAGAATGTTCATAGTCAACATATAATTGTGTTGAAGGACAGTTCCAATGCCAGTGGTCCATCTTTTGAGATACATTGTCATATGTTGTATTTCCGGAAATGAATTTATATATCATTGTTACATTTATTTTTGTAATATGATGCCCACAAATAAAGGAACACATTGGTATAGATTTTTTTTTTCTTATGAATGTCTTTTTTAATAGGTTCTTTAGTCTTTTTCTTCTCTTTGTTTAATTGGAATACATGTCATGATTTTTACAGTAACAATGTTTCATCCATAAAACAATAGCTAATTCTTGATAATTCTTGGCTAAAATAACTCCCAATCCTCTATCCATTGCTGTCATATGGACTTAGGAGATGGAGAATAAGGCCCATTGTTGGGGATCTCCCCTACCCTTAACCAGTTTTGTACAGTATTTTTCCCCCATCTCTTTCTTTCTCATCTCCAACCCCTTTTTCCGTCCACCTCCTCAGAAGTTAGAGCTGCATTGAAAGGATAAAGGGCTGGCTTTAGATTAGTCCTAAACAGCCTCGGAGAGCCATGCACGTGGTATTCCCGTTTAGTTATCTAGCCCTTGCCCCTCATGGGGATCCTGAGGGGTAAACCATTTCTCTTCCCCATATACTTTAGGCTTATGACTAGTGATGAATTTATACCTTTACTAGGCACACTGAGGCTTGCACCTTGATCAACTAGCCCCACTGGCATAAACTTTGTGGTTCCCAGACCATTGGCTCTCCTTTGATCACAACTCTGCTACTATTTCCCCCTCCCCAATACCTGCTGTCACCTCATTTCATTCCAATACACCCACCCAGGTCATTACCCAACCATCAGAAAACAACATCCTCCATACATTCAAACCCCTTTTCCCTTAATACTGCTCTCCGTCCTTATTGTCCACCTCTCTGTAGTACTACCTCACTCAATACCAACTGGGATTGATCTTTTTTTTTGTGTGATTCCCCCTATAGCCCCTTACTCTGACAGTACCCTCCTCTTCCAACAAGGTCTCCAAAAACAAGTAGGCAAAGTTTCCTTCTGCAGTCTTTGTAATTGTCTACGCCTTGTCACAGTTACATCTGAGTCCCAAGTTCATGTATTATATACCCTACTGGTAAACCTGTTCCTTTCCAGCCTTGCTCCCTCAATACTCTTACTGGAACTGTTTCCATCTCACTGGTTGATTCCTCAGTCTACATCAAGGATTGGTCAGACTATAGAAACAACTTGCTCATTGAATATGATGCTGTATATGCTATACTATGCCCTCCAAATGCCACCGAAAGACCTACACCACTATTACCAAGATTACCTTCTGTAGACATGAGACGAGTGTGGGAAATATGAAAGCGAGCAAGAGCGTCTGTTTTAAGGGAATGAGAATGATCAAGGAGAGATGGAAGTTTTATAGTATGTAATTAATTGGCGGTAAAACCTGACCAGAAAAACTGTCAGCTGGCAGAGAGGAAAGTCTTGAAGTGAGGGTAATAATTGGTTGCTAGAATCTGCAAAAAGCGGGATTGGTGGGATATGGACATAGCAGCGGACCGTGCTACAGCATCTGCCTGCTTGTTGCCGGGGATCCCAACATGGCTGGGTATCTAGCAAAACTGACAGATTTGTGTAGACAGGTACAACAGCCGGTCCTGAATCATACGGACAAGGGGGTTGATTGGGTTCCTAGACTCTATCAGAAATACTAAGTTCTAATGCCAAGAGGATCGCACATAGTTCTGTTGTAGTGTCACTAGATTCAGGAGATGGAAAGTTGAAAGTGCGGGAAGGAAAGACACAGCGAAACCAGCACTAGAGAAGCACTTAGAGCCATCTGTATGTATATGAATACTTGAGGAGTGAATAGAGGCATAATAGAGAAAATGAATGAGAAAGACAGGAGGATGTCTGATTTGGATGAATTGTGAAAAACAGAGAAACAAATATAGGAGGAAGGTATAAGCCAAGTAGGGAATACATGGACAGAAAAAGGAAGGGATGAGGAAAGGGTGAATGGGAGAGAAGAGGATCCATGCGAATCAGTGGAGTAGGTAGACGCAGAGAGGAGGTAAAGGTAGGAAGAAGGGATTGAGGGACAGATGGTTTGGAGATAGGAAATTGGTTGAAACATAGAATGCTCTGGAGAGAGAAAAGGGCAGCCTGATTCAGCGTACAGGCTCTCAACTGGAGAGGAGCGGAAGACTCCTGGGGCTAAGCGAAGACCGCAGTGGTTGAATGCGTCAAGGTAAGCAAGAAGGGAGGCAGAGAGAAGAATGGATATGGCAGCTATAGTCAAGAGTAGAGAGGCTCAGGATGATATGAAAATGAAGAAAACTTTTGCGATCTAAACCCAAGGATATATGGACGAGAGGTGATGGCGGGTTGTTTCTTTAATAGAGAGGATATGGTCTACCCCAGACTGAAGTGGAGCATCATATAAAGAGAGTAGAGGTTGGGGACCTATACGATCGAGAAAAAAATGGAGAGGGGTTTCGAAAAGCGAAAGTTATGGTCAATCTCCCAAGAAGAGATAATGATATTACAGACTGGATTAGGCGACGGAAGGGCCAGGGGAAAAGAGGGTTCATTCATCCACAGACTAGGGAGGATCACATACCTGATAGTAGTACTGAAATGAAACCATTTACAGCACGAAGGAATAATGCTGTGTTGAGCACACTGCCTTGTAGGATACTTTCGAATTAATGAAAAGAAGATGAAGTTAAAGAAGCAAATTTGACGCGAAAGTGCGATCACAGAAAGAAAAGACTTTATGAACACATTCATGTTTCCTCGTATGTCATGAGAGGATAACAAATGTGGTATCGGCATATTGTATCAACGTCTTTTCTAACTCTAAGAAAACGGTCAATACAGAATCATGGCGTAATACAAATGTAATATGTTTCGAAATGAGCAAGGGGATCAGCTGTACTTTGGGCACGGCGGAATCCGAGAGAGAAGGCTGTGGAATTCAAGGTATCACATTAAGAAGAGGTTAAGCATTCTTTCTAGTAATTTGCATAAATGGGAAAGATGAGAGTGCGTTCTTTGGCTGATTTTTGTGGAAGAGAAGTGGGGAGAAAAGTAAGAGCCACTTCTGACCTGACTGGAATAGGTACCAAAGATTAGAATAAGTCCGATATTCGAAGCTGAGCCTCGCCCGGGCTATGCCCATGAGGGGAGCCCGGCCTGTGTCGAGTAATGCCGACTCGCCAACGTGTGTCAGCTGGTGCTGACTCGGATGAGCTCAGTCCTTACTCATCGTGGTGCCAAGCCACAGCAGTAACCTCCAGGCGACAACTGCAACTTCTCGCACCTGGGTGGGGCGCGAGCCGCCGACCCCTCGGATGAGAGGCCGACACATTGCCACAATAGGTACCAAGATCAGTAGCAACTTAGAAAGGATCAGAAATGAGGATATTACGGATATGGAGGACGGGGGCAGGGTGAAGGGGACGTTTCCTTGACAATTTTCCTTGACACCAGACTGCAAAAACAGATGTCATGTAATAAGGGCTGGCGGTGTCTCGATTGTAGCAATAACGATCCATGCTGCACGCTTCAACCGAAACAATTGGTGCATTCAGAGTTCCACCGTGGAACGCATACGGTCGGGAGGTTTGGGGAATGGCTGTAAAGGCAGCATTCAGGACAATAGCTGTGAAATAAGGAAGCATGTGTGAGCTTAATCAAAACACCAGCGTGAGGGGGGGGGGGTATACGAAGCAGGGAAAAGAAGAATAAGACCTTGACCGCAACAAGGAAAATGGTCCAGATCTGACCGATGAGAGCCTTTATCTAGGGGTCCCCAAACTTTTTAGAACACTAACCCCTTCATGGAATCTTTGATTTTTCATCGGCCCCCGGGTATGTACAAAAATAATGATAGTAATTAAGTACATGTGCATTTTCCATATACATTAGTGAAAGAAATTGCATACCAAACCCTGCTTTAAATAAACAGCAGTAAGGGAAACTGCACACCAAGCCCTGTAGACTGTTTTGTATCTCCTCCACCCTGTGAATACATTTTGTGAAATATAGACAAAATAGAAAATAAACTGAATTACGAACGGGAAGCAACAAATTATATTTCGTGTATTTTTTTACGGGAATGTCAGCTTTCGACCCCAAAACTACAAACGGGCCCGGCGGTTATCGACCCCTTTTTGACCCCAGGCGTTCATCGATCCCTTGGGTAGTCCAACTTTGCAGACCCCTGGTCTGGTTGGAGGGAAGGGGGGGGGCAGAGAGATAAATCGCAGCACCTATGGATTGGGTATGTATGTCAAAGTGGGTGGGGCGGTCTGAGTTAAAAAGGACAAGGTCAGTATTAGAAAGAAACCATTCGAAGGAACGAGTGGAACGAAGGACAGCACTGAAGTAGGAAGCGAAACCAAACTGACAACATTTTTGACACTGATTGAGAAGGGGTCGATATGGTAGGATTCTCCACCAATATAATCTTGGCAATGTTGGTGTAGAACTTTCGGCGGCATCTGAGGGGAATAGTGTAGCACTGTATTGATACTGCATCATAGTCATCGAGGCAGTTTGATCAATCCTTGTCGCAGACAGGGAAATCGGCCAGGGAGATGGAAACAGTTCCGGTACAAGTATTAAGGGAGGAGTGAGGCTGGAAAGGAATAGGTTTGCCAGCGAGACAATGCACGAGTTTGGGACTCATGTAACTGTGACAAGGCGTGAACGATCGGCATGGCTACGGAAGGAAACTTTGCCTACTTGTTTTTAGAGACATTGTTGGAAGAGGAGGGTACTATCAGAGTAAGGGGATGTTGGGGGAATCACAAAAAACTCACTTAGTACTCCAATGATTTGTAGAGGTGGAAATAGTTGAAGGACGAGGGCAGAAGGAGGAGGGAATGGTGTTGGGTGAGGTAATACTACGGGGGTGTACAAGAAGAATGTATAGTAATAAGGGAGGGGGGGGGGGGGAGTTGAAAATGAAGACGACTATGGAGATGGAAAGGAGGGTGTTGGGAGAGAAGGAATGCTTACTGAAGGTTGGATAATGGCCTGAGTAGGCGATTTGGAATGGACTGACCTGACAGCAGGTATCAAGGAGGGCGAAGTAGCAGCAGTGCTCAGAGTCGTGATCACAAAGGAGATCCAGGGTCGAGGAACTGGAAGGTTAATAGCAG